CCCCCCCCAAAAAAAAAAAAAAAAAAAAAAAAAACACTTCACTACGTAGTGGATCCAGTCCGTTCCTGTCCAAATCACAGAGATGCCTTTTTGCATTGGATTAGTTTTATCACAGGACCTAGTAGGTCGTTTGCGGGGGAATTTTTACTTTACAAATTACTGACATGACTGATTCTCATGAGATTAACAACGCAGACATTCTCTGCAATTATTACAAATAGCATGGGGTCCTTAGATAAAACTAATCCCATCAGAATAGGGCTTTAGTCTTAACAAGTGGACAACAGGTTGTGTTTTATCTACTGGTTTGTTTTGTAGGAAAAAAAAACACAAGCCAACTGGCTTTAACTCCCATCCGTCCTTCCATTTTCTTTCTGTTCTTGGGGATCTTGTGCTTGACTCCAGCAGTCACCGTGCGAGAGGTGTGGCTTTAACACAACGTACCTAAAAAAAGAGGAACCTTGTTACTCATGAGCCAGAACGGACTGTTGTAATGTTCCTGCCACACTCCCCGACACTCCCTGCCCTGACAGAGTTTAACGTGTCCAGTCACTTGTAAAATGTAGTTGCATTCAGTATATTCACACAAAGAGGCTGCTGTGTTTTGATAGGGAAGTCTTGGCTGCACATTAGCAGCAGACTTTAACCAGGCAGTCGAATAAGCTGTCCTGCTTCTCTTCAGGTTCGTCTCGGTTGTCTGTGCTGACGGAGGCTGCTGCTGATGGCGCTTTTTGCATCTGACAACAGACGCTTCTGCTAAAAAGGAAACTCTGGCATTTAGTTCTCATTCAGTGAGGATTTAAACAGCAGCTCGCTCAATTTAAAACACTCACTTCCACCCAGTCTTCAAGGTTGTTGTTAGTTTCGTTCCAGGAAAAGAGGTTTAAAGAACGTAAAAACAAGCTGTGGCTCACCTATTTTCTAAAATTTACCATCCCAAGAACTGACTCATGATGACACTGCTTGGAAAATCTGCTTTCTTATGCTTTTTTTTAAAGCACTAGCTTACTTCGTTCCTAATAGTTGAGTCATTTTCAGTTCCTAAATTACAACAGATATGATGCAAGGACAAGATATGTCATCTGTTTTGTACATATTTTCACTTTTAGAAATCCAAGCTTCCTGAGGCTGACTCGCAGATCCTTCACCATCTTTCTCCAGTCTTAGTTTGTCAGGATGCAGTTGTATAAAATTCATGGAGACATTTAATGCTTGTGGTTTCACAATGATCTGATGTTCTATAGTGACTCCTAAAGTCTGCGGCACTAAATTTGGATCTCTTTTTCAGTCAAATCTAATGTTTACCATATTTGTCTTTTGCCTCCCCTTCATAAAGAACGTTTTGAGTGATTTTTTTTCTTTCTCCCATGACAGCTAATAAAAGAAAAGGCCTGCAGTGGGTCATAGATGTGACCATAGCATACCCTAAAGCGAGACCAATGGACATCCAGACCTGGATCTTTGGCTACAGGCCTCCTACAGTCACACATGTACATTACAGGTAAGAGTCACATGATTTTCTTTTCTCGTTTGTTCCATCTCCTGTCAGAATGCTCATATTTCCACCTTTCCACTCTGTGAAGACCAAAAATAAACACTACCAGGAATATCCGTCATACTTTACCATGCAAATATACCTTACCGTGCAGCAAACATGCAAAAATCTGGGTCACGTGAAAAAGAACCACGATTCATCACGGAGTAGGTTCAGACAGAATGTCATCCGCCTCAGGCTGATGAATGTTCAGCTGCTTGTCTCATCAGTTCTAGTAAATAGCTTAGTTTTAAAATAATAAAAGCCTTGTCGTCTTGCTCGGGTCTCTTAGTTTATGTCTTTTCAAACCACAGAAACGTCAAAACCACCCAGAACTGTTACGTAGACTTTTAGACTTACTGGACTTGTGTTTGTTTTATAACTCTCCTGCTGATTATACAAACTTCACAACACTTCCTGTACTTGTTGGTGAAATGCTGATGATCTAAAACATGTTTTCACACAGTATTTTACTGGAGTAATGGGTTTGTCTTACTTAGGTTCCAGCCTTTGTAGCCGCCAATTTATTAGTGTGGCTGCAGTCTTTGCTTCAGGTTTTACTTTCAAAGACTCGGTTTTGTCCTGATGTAGAGTAAAGGAACCAGTTCATATGACTGTCAGTAACGAGACGTTTTTTGACAGCTTCTAGGGTTCAAGCATAGCCATCGTCAATATTTTTAGGTTTCCATTTTTAAGCCAGCCATTATAAACTATTCTTTCGTAGCGACTTCTGTCATTTCTGGTATTGCTACATATTAAAATAAAACCCGTATATAACATGTTATTTTTGGATTTAGATAGCTGAAGCAAAAAAATGAAACGCTGTGGATTTTTAATAATCAATTTTACATTTTTACATTTAGGTTTTAAAAGTGGAAAAATAAACAAACAATAAAAAAACACAGTTGTTTTCTTCTTGCCATTTTGTTTTGAAACCAAAAAAACAAAATATTTAATAGTTTCGCCCATATCATTAAAATCTATCCAATAGTTTAAGAGCTATTTGGGCTTTAGTGGTGAATGTTAAAGTTTTATACGAGCTGTAAAAGTTTTCTGATCTTTTAGCACTCAGAGTATGAGTTAATTTACTGAGATATAGACATTTTTGTTTGATTAAATTGTTTACCTGCAGCTGTGTCGACCCATCTTTAATGGTTGATTGTGAAAGTTGCAGATGCAATGATTGGTTGGTTGGTTGGTTGGTTGGTTGGTTGGTTGGTTGGTTGGTTGGTTGGTTGGTTGGTTGGTTGGTTGGTTGGTTGGTTGGTTGGTTGG